TTCTCTTCTCTTCTCTTCTCTTCTCTTCTCTTCTCTTCTCTTCTCTTCTCTTCTCTTCTCTTCTCTTCTCTTCTCTTCTCTTCTCTTCTCTTCTCTTCTCTTCTCTTCTCTTCTCTTCTCTTCTCTTCTCTTCTCTTCTCTTCTCTTCTTTTCTTTTCTTTTCTTTTTGGAGAGGTTTTTGCCATAGGGCGCGTGCGCTTGCCAGACAGACAGAGAGAGACAGAGAGATAGAAAGCGAGAAACCACCCCCCAGGGGGGATGGCCACGCCGCAATCCCTTCTCCTCCATTCTCCTCTCAGGATCTTGGGTACACAACGCACACGCGCCCGGCATGAGTTTAAGCCACCAGGTCCGGGATGCAAACTGCGGTCGACTATGTGGGAGTCCAGCGACATAGCCATTACACTAACTGCTGGTCCCCCCCCCCTTCCTTTTCTAATCCAGCTTCCCTCTCCATAAAATGAAGACACTGAATTCAGCAATCTCTCAAACTTCTTCCAGTTCTGACATTCTAGAAGTCTATGAAGCTGGCAAATGTAGATGCAATGTGAAAATGGGTTGAGTGCTAGTAGAGCAATTATTTTTTCATTTGAAAGAGAGCTTTGATACTGCAAACAGTACTTGGCTTAATGTCAGGAAACCTTTTTGGGTGAGTTATTTTATCTTGCTGAGCTTCAGTTTTCTCATCTGTAAAATGAAGTCATAATAATACCACCTTGCAACGCTGCCATGAGTAATGAGTTAAATGTAAAGCCACTGGCTCATGGCAGACACATGGCACCAAGTGGTCAGAACCAGCTATACTTGCACCTTCCCTGGTGGCTCCTTTACTCTAAATACTTTCCAGATACTATCTCATCCTTTCTTTAAAAAAAAAAAAAAATCTTCAAGCTAAAGGAAGTGAACTATGATATGGCTGCACTGAATCAAGGATGGGAAGGAAGTAGGGCCAGCAGGTGGCATGCTGATGAAGGCACTGAACTCCCACATGGCCAACTGTGGTTTGAGTCCTGAACCTGGTGGCTTGAAAATCACACCAGACTGGGGCCAGCAGATGGTGTAGTGGTTATGTCGTTGGACTCCTTCATGGCTGACCACAGTTTGAGTCCCTGACCCAGTGGCTTGAAAATCACCCTGGGGGCTTATTGTGTGTATGCATGCCCAAGACCCAGGGAGGAGAATGGAGGAAAAGGAATTGTGGTGTTGCCATCCCCTCTTGGGGTGATTTCTCACTTTCCCTCTCACTCTCTCTCTCTCTCTCTCTCTCCACAGCAAGTGCACACACCCTAAGGGAAAGATCTCTATAAAAAGAAAATCCAACAGACACATGTACATGCCCAAAATCCCAGGAAGGGAATGGAAGAGGAAGGATTGTGGCATGGGTGTGACGCATGGGGGGTAATTTATCTTTCCCTCTAACTGTCTCTCTCTGTCTCTCTCCAGAGAGTACATGTGCTCTGTGGCAAAAGCCTTAAAAATAAATTAAAAAAAAAAGAGAGAATGAAATTAACTGGGTTGGAGTCTTCCTCTATTTTGGATATGTTTAGGTATATGATTGCATTTAACTATCATAACCACCCCTGTGGGATATCTCCCATACACAGTGAAGGAGACTGAGTCTTCATGAAGTTAAATAGCTTCTTTATGATCACCCAACTATGAAATAGCAGTACAGAACTTTGAACCTGGGCTGGTTATTTAGCTAGTGTTGCTTAATCCCAGACCTACCCAGACTTACTCTGTGTGAGGCTGAGGATGAGACTTTAAAATGGAAGCTAAGCCTTGCTAGCTGGTGTCCCAGAAACCAAGGGCACTTTCAGGGAGATGGAAAGATTTGCTGTTGCTGTTGGATCTCCCTGGTGATGGTTTTTTACCCCAGCAGTGGCAATTGGTTCCAGCTGTTTTCCAAATCAATCCGTTTGCTCTGCAGAAGCCTAAACTCCAGTTCTATAAGGTCCTTCCTCAAGCTTCTATGACTCTAGCCCTCTACCTTTGCTCCCTCAGCCATGGGGTGGTGTTTTCTCCCCATTGTCTTTGTTGTTTTGGCTTTTCCCTTTTATTTATCTCATTCTCCAATACCCTATGTTAATCCCCTCTGTGACAACAAGTAGTCCACTTTTTGTTTCCCTACGTGGCTCCTTAGGCCTGCATGTTCCTATGAGCTCACCAATATGTGAGCTACCTCGGAACCAGCTCTGGCTGAGTGTTTAAGGGAGGCAGCCAGGAACCCTGTAGAGGCTGGTGGCTGACTCAGTAGGCACCAGAGCCTCCGGAACGCTGGGGAAGCACTCCCTGCTGAGCTAGCAGCTACGCTGCAGAGGTGGATGTGGTGGGGAGGGTACCTTCCTGCTGGGGCTCCTCGGGGAGACAGATGGGCATCACGTAGTTATTCAGCACCGGGCTCTCCAGCAGCTCCACCAAAGCCACGTCATTCTCGAAAGTGCTGGGGTTATACTGGGGATGGAGAGTGATGCGTTTGACCCTGAGATGCTGTTCGTTCTTATCCGATCGCACCCTCGAATGTTTTCCTGGGTAAGAAGAAGGTATGTGAGGCATGAGGGCAATGGAAGATAAGGCTACACCTTGCTCCCTGTCAGCCCCAGGTCCCATCCAGCTGGGGCTTCCAGCCTTAACCCTTTCGCTGCCCTTACCTTTCCACAGCCATCCACCCTACTGGCCATTTTCCACTTCCTCATGGCTTCTCTCCTTTGTCTTTCCTCATTAGCCAGTCCATTGCCTTATGATGCCCATTCTTAACACTTTCTGCCGCATGTCCAGTCCATGTGATCACCCTTCAGTGTCTGGGTCATACATTGCCTCCTCCTTGAAGCCACTCAGATTTCTCTATGCACTCCCCTGTCACTTTATCTATTCTTTTTTTAAAAAGAATTATTTATTTTTGTTTTATTTATTCCTTTCATTTATTTTAATTTGACCAGAGAAAGACACACAGAGAGAGAGAGTGGGAAAGTGAGAAAGGAAGCCACCAGGTCCGAGACTTGAACCATGGTCGGCCATGTGGGAGTGTCCAGCGCCTTAACCACCATGCCACCTGCTGGTCCCCACTTTATCTATTCTTGTTCTACAGAGTGTACTGCTCCCTATCTTATATTAGAGGTTTCTGATCACATCTCGTGCCTTCATTAGACTGTAAGCTGCTGTGGGGGGAAGCAGCCCTCAGTTTTCCTGTGTCCTTATACTCCGGTACAGTGTCAGTAGGTTGACACCATGTCAGTAGGCTGAATTAAATCAGCTGGTGGTCTCGATGTAGGGTTGGGGGGAGTCCAGACTGTACATGTATGATTCATTTGAAACCATGGATTCATAAAAGCCCAGAGGGTGCTGGGAAATGATCGAGACTTCTTATTTTACCCTGTGGCAGCTGAAACCCAGATTTGAATGACTTGTTTGTGGTGACAGTGGCTGAAAATGGCCTTGGACTTGGACTCAGGTCCCTGCATCTTCATCCTTGACGTCCTGCCCTGCGTGGACATACCTTGGACAACGGGAGTTGTGGTACCCCAGTCTAGCACCACGCCCGGCCTCAGAAATCAGCTCGGCCCGCACTCACCCAGGATGATTTTGAAGTCAGACGGCCTGAGCATGTCTGAGCTGTGTAGGGTTGAGTCGTCTGAGTCTAACAGCTGGTGGAGGCAGTGAGCAGCGGTCACAATCCAGTCGGATCCTGGAGAACAGAATTTTCACACACCGTTCTGTACCGCCCAATCCTGCCTCCCTTGGTCATGAGTCAACACTCAAGACACCGCCACTGACTGCATCCCTCTCCATGGCAAGGATCAAGTCCTGGAAGCGTCCAGTGTCACGTTCCCATTCGCCATCCCCACATCCCCTGTGCCTGACTGCAGCCTCGCCCAGGCCAGCGCCTCCCTTCCCCCAAGGAGATCCTTGCCCTGGAGCTGTCTACACCTGACTGCAGCCTGGAGGAGGGGGAGGCTGAGAGGTGTGGCTAGGAGCTGCCCAAGTAGAAGTGGACACATCCAGGCCTTCTTCTCCTGTGGTGGGATCAGACCAGAACTGGCCCAGGACTCCAGATGACTATTACCTGCTGATGTCAGAGCTGGGAGACTCAGATCGTCTGGACCGTCGGCCATTCTTTTCCCTCCTTTGCTCCTACTCCCACCGCATTCAGTCCGCCAAAGATGACAACCTTATTTCCCAAGGATTTTTAATCTTCCACACTTTTCCCACCTCTCAGACTTTTCTAATTTTGAGGCTAATTACTTCTGTTCCCATTACTCTAAGATTCACTCTCCTCCTCATCCACGCTGCCTCTGGAAAACACCTTCCATAATTTGCGTATACACCTACAGCAGCGTTCAGGGTGGGATCCAAATGCCAAGACATGGCATTCCAGGCCAGGGCGAGTTCCTGGCTGTCCCTGATCCAAGAGCTCTGGTACACAGGGGAGTGAGTGCCTTCTGTTGTGATTCGTATTCAAGGCCTGACTCCCAGACAGTCTTTTCCAGTATCAGCTACTGAACTAGGATTCAGGAGGTGCTTGTTGACTAGAGGAGTGAGGACAGGGGTACCGGCCTCCTGATTCCAGTTAAGGGCTCTTTTCCACCCTTTACTTCTTGGCCCTGATACTAGTGTGGACAGTGACTCTCAATGAAGAAACTTCGGTCAGCCTCCAGGAAGAGCACCTTCTACCCTGCTCTCTAACCTTCTCCTTACCTAGAAGAGAGCCCCCACAGAAGGGCTGTCCATTCGGGTCTGTCAGCATGGCAATCCAGGGACTGGTGCCCTCCTGGGCTGGATGTCCATTGAAGATCCGGGCCAGACTCCTCCGGGAGAACTTGGGGAGCCCACACACTGCAGCCAAGGGAGGGGCAGATCACACTCTGGGCTCTATTTCGTGCATTGCAGGAGCTCCCAGCTCAGCACTCCGTTAGGAACATCTGTTATTTCTCATCTCCCAACAACCACTTCCCTTTCTGATAATAGCATCTCAACTTCTCTTGGGGAGCTGTACTTTCTCCATTGGATGGACCTCAATTCTAGTTTCAGGGATAGTAATACGGCTTATTGAAGCTTGCATTCTCTAGCCACAACGATTGCTCAGAGGTGGGGATGTGGTCTTTACCAGGTCAATGAAAGCCTGATTGGGAATTTTACTGAACATACTAGAAAAAAAGTCATTCTCTGCTGGGGTTGCTAAGCTGTTGGCTATAAGCCCCGATCTGCCAATGATAACTTCACAGAGATTGTGCTAAGAATGATGCTGCTAACACAGAGTGAAGTGATCTGAAAAATGAGGGGGGAAACAAGAGGGAGATCGTATCCTAGAATTTGAGCCCTTGGATCTAACCACACTGAAACCTCTGGAGCTGGGTTTGGAAGAAGGTGCTGAGCATAGCACAAACTTAGCAATAAATCAGCCATTTGTGTATTTAATAGACTCAAAATGATAAAATAGAGCTAGAACAGCTATTGGAATTGTAGATGGACCTTCAACACTAAGCTTTGCACGGATAGAAGGGTACTAACTTCAAAATCTTATCTGGTGGACTTTTCTTTCCTAGGAATTCACCCCATCTTGTGGCTCCTCAGCGTTGAAGCTGGAACATCATCGTCTCAGATGAAGGCTACATACGGCTCTGACTCTTTGGAGAGCAAAGCAGAAACAGAATTGAGATGCAGATTTTCACTTTGAGAATCAGGCTTCGTAGTAAAAATAAAGGACTTACAGGTTTCAGTGAACAGAAACCTGGAGAACTGAGTGTGCAATTTTTACTATAAGTCATTGAGAAGGGAGGCTGTATAGGCAGTTGCCTGCCTGCTAAGGAAGAATTAAAAGCTCTTCCCAGGCTGAGTGAGAAGGCTGGAGAAAGAGAGAGCAAGGGCAGAGGGGACAGTGAGAGAAGGAAGTGCTAGGGACGTTAAACACAAGCACAGAGGCTGCCCCTGGATACTCGCTCTGAGAGGACAATAGAGACGTGGTCCCTGTTCTGGGGGATTCCATCCTGGAGGGGTTTGCCTGGCATCAGATGCTGCCCACCGTCTCTCATGACAATGTTCCTCCTTTGGAATCTGAAGTGATTGTTTTTTTCCTTGTGTTTCTGGTCCCTCTTCTTTTTTCCTTTACTTTTCCTTCTTTCCTTCTATCTCTCTGTTTCTCTTTCCTTTTTGCTAGTGTTTCTCCCACCGAGTCCTTGGCTCCCTTCTCTGTCAAGTTCCAGCAGATGACACCCATAGGCCACCATACCACTCATACGCTGAATTCAAGTCAACATCTCCCAATCTGCCTCTCCTCTGAAACCCAGTATTCTTTACTGTCTACTTAAACTTCCAGCTGGAGTGCTCATAAACTTTTCTTTTCTTTCTGGTTTTTTTTTTTTTTTGAGAGGGGTATTTTTTTGCTATAGGGCTGGTGAGCTCACCAGAGAAACAGAGAGAGACAGAGAGACAGAAAGTGAGAAATCACCCCTCAGGGGGGATGGCCACGCCACAATCCCTTCTCCTCCATTCTCCTCTCGGGATCTTGGGCACACACGCACACGTGCCTGGTGTGAGTTTAAGCGACTGGGTCTGGAACGCGAACCACGGTTGGCTACATGGGAGTCTAGTGACATAGCCATTATGCCAACTGCTAGCCCCTACTCATAAACTTTTCAAACACAGAGAAGCCAAGTTCTGGTCTCTACCCTTCCCCAAACGTCTTCCCTTTGTTAACACTTATACCACCCACATCCTTGTTATCCTTTTTTTCAGCCCCCATATTCAATCAGTCCCTAAGCTGGCAGCAAATGGCTAGGAAAAGCAGAGTGCAATGTATCGCCCCCTGCAGGTCACAGCTGTTCTCCCTGAACCTCATGATACTCAGCGTCTCAGTATGTCACAATATAAATATAATATCTAGGAGGAAGATGAAAATCCAAAATGTAATGGGACACACAAAAATGATCATCCTTGAAACCAGCAACATATAAAGCATAATCTGTGACTCCTTTAGTTCTCAATAGTAAAAAAAGGCAAGGCGTTTTCATTAGGATACAAACCCAAACCTGGCGAATCACGAATGTGTGCCTCAGAGAGCCTGCACTCAGGTTAGCTGGGGCCACTCCTGTCTTCTCTTGCTGGCGTCGTCTCGAGAGGTGCCTACAGGCCAAGCCCTGGATTTAAACTGTCGCTGCCCTCTCTGCACTGTCACAGGCCTAGGTCTCGGGGGTCTTCACCACCTTTCACCAAAACAGTTACTGTAGCTTCCCAACTGCTCTCTCTAGCTCAGTCCTTCCTCCTCCGCTTTCCACAAGGGCTCCCTGCCCTCAAGACTTGCTGAATTCAGAATCTCTAGTGGGTAAGACCCAGGAGTCTGCATTTATAGCAAGAAACTCAGATGATTCTGATAAACCCCCAACTTAGAGACTCACTGGTTTTAGGACTGAATCCACAGTACAGCCTTAAAGACTCCTCCTACTCCCCCAACGCCCGCTGCGTCTACTCTGGTCATGGTCTGCTTTACTGCTATGGCCCCTTTGTCTCCTCTGACCCAGCCCTCCTGCTTGGTGTATTCTTTGGAGACTGCAAAACTATTCTGATCCTTTCCAGCTACATGAAATTACTTCTTTAAGTTCCTATGATACGTAAATCTCCATTTCTCTTTTTAGCATTTTTTTTTTTTT